GCCGCCTGCGAGGGCTGACGAAGACTCGCTACTTTAATTCGAATTCCGAGCAGCTTCGTTAAGACATGAGGGTTTAGGGTTTGGATTTCGGGTTTGGGGTTCATGCAGGCGCCAAAGGCTCAAAGATCAAGATTCCTGCAGAGAGGATGGAATAAGATAGCAACAGAGATTTCGGATGTAGTGTGTAGACTCTAGAACAAACACAGTCGCAGTCAGCTGGCAGTTGCAACAGAAAGCGCGAAGATCAATAGAGAGCCCTGAACCAAGGAACAATGACCGAGACAATGGCAGTCAAAGGAAGAACTGATTATCAAGGCGTTGGCTCAGTCATAACCTTCCATGACCTTGTAGGAGCCCTTACAATTACCAGCACGGCGAAGTGTTGTCGCAAAGATCCCTGAAGTGACATTGAGGTTCCGGGTTTTCAGATACTCCGAAAGCTCTGGCAGCAGCGCAAAGACACATTCTGGAGGATCTTCGTTAGGTTTAATATTATAGGGGCCTTAGCTTGGAGCACTCGGCAACTTGAACCCAAACGACCTGCCCGACCTGGGCAACAATGCCGGTGCACTCGCGCCCATCCACCGTGGCCACGTCGGTGTGCGCAAGCTCGTGGAAGTAGAGCCAAGCTGCAAGGTACCTGCAGCACGACTCGGAAATCAGTACAGAAACAGAACTAGGAGCTTGCAGAGACTCTGCTTGAAGATCCGGCTTGCCGAAGTTTCGCCTTCCCCGGCCAATTTTGCACGGACATACACTAGAGAAATGATCTTGAACTTCCGAAGAAGGCTCTGCCGAAGGTGCTGCTGCCCTGAGCCTTGAAAGCCATGTCAGAGCTCCATTGAAAAAGCTCTCATCAAAGAAGCCCCTCCCTAATTAGGTTCTTCTTCGTTACAATCATGTTTGCAAAACCATAGGGCTACAACGTCATCACGCCGACACCCAGAATGTTCAAACTACATGGCGCAAAGCATCTTGTTACCCTTGCGTGGCATGGGCGCTTAGGGAACGATAGGGGCATTGCTGGGTGGCCTCCTCATGGCACTGAAACGTAGTAAGATCTTCCGCTGCGTCCAAAACTCACTCTACTTGACCCAAACATGAGCATCCGCTGTCCGCAAAATTCTTCACTTGCTCCGAATTCTCCGTCAACACAGGGCCAGGTGGCTCGTAAGTCACAGGATGCCCAGCAGCAGCAAGCTGCCTTTGTGGAATCGTTGAGCTTGAGGCTCACATCTTTGGCACTTCAGGGCATTTTCAGCGATCAGTTCAAGCTAGAAGACAAAGCCTTGCACGCACCCATCTCACCGCTTATGCAGCTTCCGGGGATCGCCTCACAGAGTACACCCGGAGAAGCAACACGTTTCTTGGCGGGTTCCGGGTCTCGAACTTCTTCAACAACCGTGGCTCGGACATAACTCTAACATGAGAGCTGGCGCTGCATGCGGAAGCCCCTGAATTAGCAACACGTCAATGGAACAAACAGAACTACTGATGTTCATAAGAACCCATAGCCTTTGCAAAGGCCAGCTGTGTACAGGCTTGCAGTCATGACAGAGCTAGTGACGATACTCAGGGCGATAATTATTCTTATCATTATTATTATCATTAATTATTACTACTAATTATTATTGTTATTAGTTATTACTGTTAAAATGAGCTCACCTGGCCTGGCGATGCCTCGGAGCTCAGCAGAAGCTGTGGGAAAGTGCTTCGTCACCTGGCACTGAAACGGCTTAGGGTCGCAGGGCATCTGGACACTCCGGCCATACATCATGGTTTTCGCCTTCCGTCTATGGAGGGGTACATTGCTACAATATAATTTCTAGCCAGTGCGATTTTGAGAGTGATGAGCCCGATACTGGTGATGATGTTGTTGTTGATGATGGTGGCTGTGATGATGATCGCGGCTGCGATGATTTGAGCAGTGGTGAGCAAGAAGAAAGAGAAGCATACGACTATATCTTGAAAAGGATAGATGCGAGCGTTGAGCTCGAGATGACGGCAAACATGCTGCTTGGTGACCGCTTGGCATGGGTGTTTTGTTTGCTGTTCAGGCTTCAGGGCTCCGGTTTGCTGCGTGCGAAGAACAGCGCAGTCATCAAGTCCAAGACCGAGCGGCTGCGCCACCAATGGTGGCGAAGTGTACATCCGTGAGCTTGCTGAACAAAGAGGCATTGTGCTCCTGGAAAACCTTGCAGTTGCGCTGCACTGACCTGTTGCCTTGACTTTGTTCCTAAGAAAGATGGAAGCCTCAAAATTTGACGACTGGCGCGAGATGCCGACAACACCAAAGTCGTGTCGAAGCAACCGAACTCTCATGACATCGTGAAAACAGGAATCGCTCGGGCTCCTGTTGTGACCATTCACAAACGAGTTCAACCCCATTGACAAGAAAAGAACAGACGTAGCTTGAAACAATGTGCTGGGCCGTGCCAACACGTGCTGTTCCAGCTCCAGCCACTGCACAGTATAACAACTGTAGCAACCGCGCGACTGGCAAGAAGGAGTGCTCGAAGTCGTGGTGCGACAGGACCAATGCAACGGCGCCATTCCAGCCTTGACGCATGCCGCTTCGGAACCTACGATCCCAAAATTACATCCGCCGTCACGCCGTTAGGCTAGTCGTCATTGTATTCATGACGCGACGGTTCGCTGCTCTATCTCTAAAATATGAAATCTATACATGCCTGTACATGCAACATGAATACATACATACGTACATACATACATACATACATACATACATAAATACGTCGCACTACATGGCTATAAGATACGGCGATACAAAGATATTTACATGCACAGATAGACAGGTAGGTAGACGGCTAGGTATAGACATCGATACCTGCATGCATGCATGCATACATACTTACATACATATACACACACACACATATGCGCGTACCTGTGCACGTACAGACAGACGGACCGGCAACAGACAGACAGATCGACAGACAGACAGACAGACAGACGGCTGTCTGATGGCCGTATAAACCTGTGGACTATCATTTTCAGCATGGCTGGCATACCGTTATGACGGTCGCTATTCGTTTCAGTGTAGGGTGGCCCTTGCCAACCTAAAAGATGTGATTCCGACTCTGACTGTGCATATCTACAGAAGAAGCTCAGTCTGTGATTAAGCCAGGATGCGATCTTCTGGTGCTTTTGAAAGGTCCTTTCCACAAGGCTGAAAACGCTCCGGGAAGATTCAGAGCTAGTTCGCCGTTTTCCGATTCTTCCCAGTTGCAGGGCGTCGATTGGTAGCCACATGCTGTGAGCCCCTCTGACCCAGCCGACCTAGCAAATCCCAAGCCCACTAGGCATCCATTGTCAGTGTTGCTGCTTGGGGGGCAGTATCTTCTGGCTCAGTGATAGGTGGTGTGTGGGGCACTGGAGAGATGATATGCGCTGTTTATCTGTCTGGTGCTTAGTAGGGAATGGGGGAATGGATCCCTATGATAGTCCCTTAAGGTCCCTTATAGTAGTCCCTAACCCATTCCCCCATTCCCTACTAAGCACCAGACAGTTATGGACATGCAAGGGTGACTGACGTCCATAGAGCTGGGCACAGGTGACGAGTTGACAGACTTCACAGACCAACAGCACTTCATTTCGTTCACTCCTGGGTCCCTTGTTGAGGCGAGGAGAGCCGACTGAAGGGACCAACAAACCCGATCTCCGAGAAGCCCAAAACTCTAAACTCGATAGATTGACCCCCAAATCCATGCCCTCCCCCGTGCAGCGGCACCAGGTCGAAGCGAGGCGGTGGCTCCAGCGACGAAGCGGCCCCCGCAAGCAGCGCCAGAAGGCGCAGCATGGCTTTGGCTGCAGATGGAAGGCTGAATCTTTCGAAGAAGGCCCACTCTTGTGAGTCTCTTGCGCCTACCGTTGTGCTGCGTGCTATGACGTGCTGCGGTGGAAGAGGACAAACGGATTGCATGAATGTTTTGAGATATTCAGGGGTCAAAGGTACGACACTTGCTTGAAAGTATAAGGTCGTGCGCCTCCGAAATCAGGCTTCTCAAAGCTTTGCACAGTCAAACCGCAGCGGCACGACAACTGAACATGTCCGGTGCATACTGTGACATGGAACTTGCACTTCCTGCCTCCTATCAGTGACGTGAGGCCCCGTAAAGCTGAAATGCCTCCAGCCCCATCGTTAGAGACCGGATTGGCTGATAAACGTCACCGCCCCCCCTCCCCCCCTCCCCCCCCCCCGACAGAATACAAGCCGCGTGAATCCGCGAAAACCGGCAGCTGCTACAGGCTCGAAGATCGGACTTCGGCCCTCTCTGCTCCGAAAACCCCAGGGATGCCTGTCGTCTGCTGCCTGCGTGTTGCCCATCCCACGCGCCAAACGCCTGGGTGATGGGAGTAAGCTCATAGAGCATATCCTCAAGGGAGCACTGAGCCCTATAAGCCCTAAAAGGATGCTTTGATGATTTGCTACGGCTTTCTCATCTCGAACTTTCCCTCTCCCTCCTGCCATCGAAATACTGCTTCTTTAGCTGTCTATAGGGTCCCTGGCCTGGGCACGGAGGGCCGCCCGATTCTGCTAATGGCTTCTTGAGCCACAGGGCAGTGCGGCAACGGACGAAGCGACGCAAAGCTGGAAGTATGAGCTGAATGTTCAAGAGCGAGAGAGTAGGAGTACCGAAGAGAACCACGACGTGTATGCGACATGTAAGTACATATGTCTGTACGTGTTTCTGTGTATTTTTGCGCACATACCTGCGTACAAACAGAGGGGAAAAGCACATGACATGTAGCTTCAGAATACAAAACACACAGGCTCCACAGCGCTGGCTCACACTTGCAAGGCCACGCAGTGCTAATGTCGTCCGACGACCTCTGACGCCAGATCGAACAAGACCCTGACATGTGGAGATGCATACCCGACCCTTGCAGGAAGAATATGGTCTGCATGCAAGCACAGGAGCTGAAAGTTCACAGCCGTTCTGCAAAAACGACCAAGCATAGTGAGGCAACCCTTCTTTCTAATCGACTTCCTCGTAGTCGCTGGTCACTTGAAGCATATGGAGAATTGCCTGACATACAAGCAGCCAGCAAGTCACAAGTACCTCCCAAAACCGCCCATCACAAACACATACTTCATCGGCCATCGACTCCCAACCGTCTTGACAGATTAACCGGTATACACTGGCTGTGGAAGAAGTGATGATTCCATCAAGCTTTATCGGTCTGTGTGCAGTGCATCGCCTCGCTCATGTCCTCCCGGCTCAATCCGTATCGCTCGTACCTTTGTGTAACGGAAGCATGCACGCCACAGACCGCCATAGCAACTGGTCGGAATGACTTGCACTGCTTATAGCAATGCTGTCGATACGACAGCATGAACGGCGAGAACAGCCCATGCTAGCAAACAGACCATTCGAGACTGATGCCACTGCGCCGCACCACTACAAGCAATGCTTGCGACACATGAGCAACGAGTCTATTTACGACCGGCCCTTCTTTATCTTCTTCGTCTTCTTCTGCAATCTTCATGATGATCATCATCATGATAAACCGAAGGTCAGCTGAAGTTGAAGCAACATGACTGCGGTATTGCTGCCAGAGCCCTTTGAGCTCTATAACCTTCTGGCCAGCCTCATAATGCAGTAGACGAAGCCTTCACAAGATCTTCGCACCACATGAGCTGAAAGGTACTTGAGGTAGAGGAACAGGCAATCCTTCTAGTTGCCGGTGCAGTCCCTGGTGGGGTCAAGGAACCTGTGTCTGCAGGTTCTTGGTGAAGTTGTGGTGCAGGGTCGGCGGTGTCCATGCTGGGCTGGGGTGATGCGTTGGCGGTTGGAGGACGTGGGCCAAGTATTTCCGGCGCAGCTCTCGTTCCTGCAGCGAGGCTTTCGGCCGCCTGTCTCTCTCGCGGCCAGGCTCTGGAAGCGCGTCAGGCCTCCCACCCGTAGGTGGAACTGGCAGCCGTGGGAGAGGGGTCAAAGTCTCGACTACACCACACGAGACAACCGCAGTTAGGTTGTTAACAAGAAATCGGTTCTCTCTTGTCAACTGCGCCGCCCCTCCCGGTCCCCATTCAAAACACATCTCACAACCATAGTCCACAACATATGCATACATCATACGGTGGTGTACGCATGCATGCGTAAATATATCAGCATTCGTCTTGTTCGTATACCCAACTAGGAGCTCCACATACGCCCACCGAAACTCCGAAACCCCACGGGCGCGGTGCACCCTAAACCCGGTAACCCAAAACCCCTAAACCCTAAGCCTGAACCCAACACCCAAAACCCTGAACCCTAACCCTAAGCCCAAAACCCCTAAACCCCAAACCCCGAAACACCAACCCCTGAGGCCCCGGGCTGGTGGAGGTATGCCGAGGCCCGGAGCATCCCGGCCGCCCTTCTGGCCGTGGAGGAGAGGGCTGGCCTGGGGATCACAGCCCCAGAGACTCCTGAAAGAAGGCTCAGGGCTTTAGGGTACTGGGCTTCATGAGCTTCCTAAAGGCTCCCAAACCCCTTCGTTAAGGAATTGTAGACGTGCAATAATTTGGTGCAATCTTATGGCAAACCTGTGGTTTAACTCACTTCAGAGGCTTGGACGTCTCGGGGCTTTAGGGTCTTAAGTACGGATGCAGGGCCGTTGAGGGTTTGCGGCTGCAGGCTTGGGCAACCTCCTCAAACATTGACTACCAGCACATCTTCGAAACAACCTTCAGTAAGATCAAGCTCAAGTCTAATGCTCGAAGTTTGACGATGGACCAGCCTTCTACTGTTGCTTGTACGAGCTGCCTATGTGCAACAGGCACATCTAAGCAGCACCAGTAACACGACTGCCGATGATAAACAACAGTCATCGGACTCATATACCCCAACCGCCCTGGCAATTTACCCCAAGCTCTTCACCAAACCTCGTGTTCGGGCCCCATGCACAACGGCTTGGCAGTTGCTGATTGAACCCAAGCTCCGCTCCAGTCGACCAACCTGGCGTCACGAAAATACGCACAGTATCAATGTGCAGCGAGATTGCATCTTGGAAGAAAACAGATCTAATTATAACTGTGTGGGCCTTCAAGACTACGTCTTACGCATGTTGTGAGGGTCTTGAAGACGTGATTCAGCTTGAGGCGTTGACGCGCGAAACTTGGGAAGAGGTGATGGTCTGCATTGAGGCAGAGTGAGTTCTGCACTCTTCGACCCGTGTGGAACCAGGCTTCGAGATGCACATGTACCAGCTGCTACAGGTAGCAAACTGCAGCAGGAACAAACATGAAGAGACGTCAAGCTCGATGGCCTGATGAGGATCTGCATGCACCTGGTAAAAAGATGCAAAACACAGGAGAGACTTCAATGCGGACTGCCATGTGCGCGGCACTGGATCTTGCAATCCTCCCAAAAAGAATTCAACTAAAGATCGCGCACACACCTTGAATCTGTCATTGTCCTTCTTAATTAGACCTGCAGCTTCCATCACAGCCTTCCTCACCACAACCAAGGCCTGCAAAGGGTCCAGCGACTGCTGCCAGATTGGCAACTTCCGCAAGGGGTCCTCGCATCCCGGGAACACACCAGGCTCCAAGGCCTCCCCTACACCAGTCCTGTGGCAAGATGCTTAAGTAAGAACCCCCTAACCCCCCAAATACCTACTATATAGGGTACTAGAGCCCCTAGGGCCCTATAAGGTAGATACCTGGGAGGTTAGGAACCATCATCGATACGGTGATAAAGGAAACGACCTAGGCATGGCTCCGGCCCCGACAGTCCAGGGACGCTTCGGTGGCTGCGTGGCCCCAGAAGAAAACGGAGGCCTCGTGTTTTGCGAGGTCAGGAGAGGACTGCTGGCTTCGTCTTTGGACTCCGCACGAGTAAACTTTGGAGATGTTTGGAGTTCTGGACTGGAGAGCGGCTAGTGTTTCGGCATCGGCTTGAGGGCTTTATGGCAAGGGCATTTACTTCCATGCTTGTCTCTTCCGGCTTAGTGGCGGTCTTTCGAGGCACTCGTGAATGCCGCATGTCAATTCATGAAGGCATATGGTCTGCAATACCCACCAACATCATACGCAAGCACTCCTGAAATGAAGGTTTCGCCGAAATCCCTGCTGCTGCGCCTTGCAGGAACATCTGATCATCTGCTGCAAACGCTACAGAAAGAACACAAACAACTCTTACAACAGAAACCCCTTCCAGACTTCCCTTTTCCGAGTTCTCCAAATCCGTGGTAACAGAAGCTTTTCGGCGTTGCAGATGCACCTGCTCGTCTTCTCAACTACCCCTCCTCGCCCAACAGCTGGCGTGCTTTCCCCCACCGGCGCTGCGCAATCACCGAGCTCAGGGCTGAAAGGGTACGGCAGCGCGCCAAACCCTCCTGCAAGTGATGGGGGGATCCTGGGTTTGCGAATGTCTGTTTCAAGTCCTTAGCTCTACACTGTCCTGAAATACTTCTCGTGGGGTGAGCAGACTTGATTACATGTTGTGTAATAGTTCAGCTTGTAAGGCCTTAAGGGCATTTGATGCAGATCCTGGCGGCTTCACGGACCATGAGCTTTGATTGGGATGTCCTCAGCCAGAAAATTCCACGATGGAGTATGCCCATGGATTTCGCCAAGCCCAGCCAAATTCATGATCACATGCATGCAACACCCGTCGACGCTGGCATTGCACGGGTTATCCGTCAAAGTCTTGACGAGAAAGATGTTCAAGGTGCTTTCGATTCGTTTGTAAACGGCTTTGAAACAAAACAGTTTTTGCACCACAAGGTTGTTAAACCCCCTTTGCCAAGCAAGCTTTTGGGTCGGTTTAAGACAATAGGGCTGAGCGGTGCAAGCCCGCAGAAGCCACGGTCCAGGCTGGTTACGAGTTTGTTCCCGAGGGAAATTCTTGTGAAGGCCAAAATTCGCGCCGTATCTGGGCTCCGGCAACTACACTTTGTACTTGTGAAGGATATTCATCTGGTTGAATGTAGTATCTTGTGCAACGAAATGGTGATTTTCGTTCCACAGGAAACACCCACACTTGATTGTGGATGGATAACGTCATGCCTTATGTGGAGCACGAGGTCGCACATCGGAAATGCGGTACGCCTTGGCATCTAGTCCAAGTAGGGGCAGCATGGTGTTTTGGCAACCGGACTGTTAGAGTTCGAAAAGTTGATGGAGATATAGTTATACCACCAGCCAACGCATGCATGTTGAGAGCAGGGCAACAGAAGATGTGGTGCACGAGCCCTGAATTCCTTTACGATGAGCTCAATCTATCTGATACCCACAACTTGACCCTTTTGACCCAACCGTTTCTGCAGAGGACGTTCGTTCCGCGATTCGCGGTATGAAGCCAGGCAAAGAGTCTTGATGGCTTCAGCAACGTAAAGCTGCAATGCTTTCTGCTGATGAAGTTGCCTTGCCGGCTGAGATGTTTAATGCACTTGTTGGCACAAGCCATTGGCCTGATGAGCTGTGCACGGGCGTACTTTCGCTGTTGGCAAAGGTCCCTGAACAAACTGTTGCGAAAGACGGTAGACCAATTACCATGTTGCCAACTTTTTATCCCTTGTTTGATAAAGTTTTCACCCAAAAACGGTTTGCACATTGGGGAGGAATATTGCCAAGTAGTTTGTCCGGCAGCTTTCCAGGCAAGTGTTCTGCAGATGCTGCGCGGGAGCTTGCGTCCTGCATCGAAAGTCACTGGCTGAAGGCTGGAATCTGTCTGGGGTATCGCTAGAGCTCTCCAACGCATACAATACAACGAGTGCCCTTCAGGCATTTGCCGCGTGGTGTGGGCGGCCTGCCAAACTCGCAACTGCATATGTAGGGTTTCTAGATCGCATCCAATGCTTCTTTCGCATCCAAGATGGAGTGTACGGCCCAGTCTTCAGCAAAGTCGGGATTCCGGAGGGCTGTCCGCTGGCAGTCCCTGAAACGAACTTGATCACCGCAGCTGAGCGGATACCACGCCCATTGCAGGTCATGTCTCACGCCACCGACAGCCTGCATCTCTTATTGAACCCAGACAAAACCAGGGCTTATGCTACAACTCTCCGGGTAGAAATCGTCTTAAGTCCGTGCTGATTCAAGGTTTTCCTTTGGATATTTCGTTAAAAGTTGGAGATGTAGGAGTTGAGTTTAATTAATGTGAGCCGTCAACAAACCACAGCCGCATTTGAACAACGAGTGGAAGACAACAAAATGAAACTCCAGTGCTTACAACTCATGCTTTGGTCTGCGGAGCGCAAAGCTGAAGTGCTCAATTCAGCCGGCGATCTTGTTTGGTTGTGAGTTACCAGTAGCAGCTATTTCGCCATCCAGTTTCGCCAATTTCCGAGGACAGTTTTCTGCTGCGGCTTGGGGCAAAAATAGCCATCGCAATCATTTTTTGTCACCCTTATTCGGTTCTTCCGTGGTGTATGAGCCTTTTGTCGACGTCCGGAAACGGCGCATCAGTGCCTTGCACAGAGCAGTTGCAGCTCACAGGATTCAACATCGTGTCGCTGGAATGCTGTGCTCAGGTCCAGCTGCTCTACACTTCCAGTCTTTTGGTTGGGTTCCTATGCTTGATTTAGTTTGCTGGGATAGGCCGGGCTGTAAAGTTAACGTGGCTTGATTGGGAAGAAGCATTTCCGGCCACTGGTCCTTGATGACTGGTGGTGCGCCATGGCCGATAAACTCCCAAATCAACCAGGCTTACTCCAGGTCGAGTTTGTAGACGTCAGTCACACGGTGCAGCTGAATCACCGATGCAAACTCAGGGGGTCGGTAATCATTAGGATGTTGTACTGCAAGGGCGGCTGTTTTCTCTAACCTAAAAAAGGGTTACCTTCCAGAAGAGGCTTGCAAATGCAAGCATTGTGGTAGTGAAGATTCGCAGAGGCACCGGCTACGGGACTGCCCGTATTGTGAGTACGCCAGGATCATCCAATCGGTTTGTAGGTTGCTGGCGAGCCTGAGCTTCGCAGAGGGTTGTTCAGTCTGCCTGTAGCAGTTATAAGGACCGCCGGCAATGGCTTATGAAGCAGCCTTCGCCATCATTCAGACCCTTTTCCGATGAGCCTATTGCTTCCTTCACAGATGGATCAACATAGCCGCATGCTGTGCAAGCCAAATGTGCATGGGCCGTAATCATCGCGGAATCATTTCTTGCAACAATGCAATCTTTGAGCATGGAATTTTACCAGGATTCCAGTGCAACTACCGGGCCGGACTGTTTGCAGTTCTGGTCACCGTCGAACTTCAGGGTTGGGTTCACAGTAACTGTCTCACTTGTGCTGCTACAGAGCTGTTGTGGGAAGTGAGGGCGGCGTTTGCTCCAAACCGGGGTAGGTGTGAGTTTTGTCATGTGAAAATCACACAGCAACTGGTCTGTCTTGCCGGATGCCGGAAGGTTTTCAGGGATGGTGTGCTTTACACAACGATGCAGCTGACGAAGGCACCTGCTAAGTGGGCAGCAGAATGTAGCGACCTCATTGCGAGTGCCAATGCTGCGGCCGATGCTCAGTTTCTACTGGCATCCCAGGTGCATGTTCCACTTGCACCAGCAAGTGCTTTACAGGCAACAGAGCTTCGAATCATGAGCACTGTGCTGGAGAGGTGGCTGCTCCGGCGCGTGAGCTGCGATCCTCGCAGACTCTTGACTTGGCAATAGCGCCTTCCTTTGATGTAGTCTGGCCACCACTGGATATGTCCAACGCGCGGATGAACCCGCGGTTTATTTATGACGGTGTTTTACGCATTCTTGCAGCATGGAGAGCTCATCAAGAGTCCTGTTTGGATCCCCTTGCTTGAGGTCTGCGTGCTGTTTGTCTTGAAAACCGGATGGGTCACTCCAGTCACTGTGGCTACCTTTCAATTTTACTGCTGCCTGTTGCGTGGTCTGGTGAGACAACAACTGTGTAGAATACTAGATGGACACACCCATGCACGAGCCATGCGGTGTCCTTTTGACCCATCTAGTTCGGCAGTTCCGTGTCATGTTCCTGTTGTACATCCTACTCTTCTTTGAAATGCATACATGCGCTCCCAGCGCGCACAGCGTACTAATTAGGAATTCTATTTTATCGGTAGTCCGACATCATATGTCGGCCTGCTAAGCATCTTGGCGTGCTTCTCGCTTGGATGGTCCGCGGACGTTTTGCTTAAACCGTTAAGCCCCTAGCCTAAACTTCGGATTTTGGGTGCGTTGAGGGGTTGAAGCTGAAGCTGTGCAAAGGCGGTGCCTGGGAAGCATAAACCCTCGTTCCAATAAGAGACAACCATAACAGCAGTAGTACTGACACTAACAGCAATAGAGTCAATACAGAGTGGTACGTCTCTGGGAAATGTTCTATTTCAATAATGAAAGTCAATACATAATAATCAAGCCGATACGAGCCCTAAGTGTAGGAGAAGGGCAACAGGTCCTTGGGGCTCTGTGTAGCTTGCGACGGCCTGGCGCGCCAACAGTGACATGGACAAGCTCAAGCACTCATAGCAGATCTCCATCTAATAGACGGTGTTCAATCCTGCAGCATTATCTCGACTCTCTGTGCCGATGAACACACAAGTCGCTGGTCAACATGTTTACAAGCCCTGAAACACTGAAACAGACGATGCAAGCTGGCCTATCCACAAGGGCGCCGGTTTCGGACAAATGGAGCAATCGCCTCTTCCAGCAGCACGGCATGGAGAATAACAAGTTCTTGGGTGCGGTGGGAAGTGGCGACAGCATCATGAGTTTCATTTCTGGAGCCCTTGGTGTCTCCTGCTGACTAGGTCCTCCTCAAATGCTCTTCTTGGCGCCCCACATACATCGACAAAAAAATTTCGATCCATTTCAAATTTCAATCCATGCGGGTTCGGGTCTCAGACTCAGGCTTCTAGAATCCGCACTGCCCAACAGCCCAATGCACGCACCCAGTACCGCCTGGTGGTGCTCTGCGGCTAGAACCTTACACCACACAGAATATCAAGCCTGGCGATCCTCTATCAGAAGACACGTGGTCAGTGGAAACTTCCTGAAGCTAGTGGCGTCCTATTTCTGCCTTCTGCTTCGAGCGGAAATCCTACAACCAAACCCGAATCCCCTAAACCCTCTTTCGGAAATCCCAAATCCTCCCCATGTGGCCTTTGGAGTGCCAACCAGGAGTCCGAGGTAAAGGCCTGGACAAGAGGACGGAGCTCCACGAGTACCAGAACCGGTTAAGGGTTTAGCGTTTACAAACAGAAAAGTCGCCTAAAAAGAGGACAGCTTGGTATCATCCTTATCGCAAGAGCGCATAGTCATTCTTATTCGCTTGACTCTCGTCAATCCTCGATATTGACTTGCTTGTGCATTCGGGCAAGCATTGCGACTGATCTGTACGGTTGGGTATCACCTCAATCTCTGAACATGAGGAGGAGATGAAGGACGAAAGCAGCAAGTGTTGAAGGCAGCCTCCCGACTCCGGGTGTCTACCGTGCGTCCGTTCCAAACAATTGTGCAAGGGAGACCAGGTTAAATTGAGTTCAGAACTCAGCCTCCATGCCGTGCTGATGACGATGGTTCCTGTGACGATGAGCACGATGGTCTCGATGCAGACAGATACGACAAGAAGGTGGACTACGAGACTGGCCATAAGGGTGATAATCCGTAGCTTTGATAGTGGTGATATGTGGTGATTGCGGCGGAAGACGGCAACGGTGCTGGTGCTGACGGGGATGACGAAGCAGCATAGGTGCTGGTCTGGATTGATAAACAGGAGACTCACATCTGTGACGAAGCTTAAACAGACTCCACCAGAAAGATTCGAGAACCGCGGCCACGCAGGCCTGAAAACTCCGATTACCCAGCTTGAAATATAAATTCCTGGCAACATCAGACCCAACATCCAAGACGTGTGGTCTCACCTCTGCTCCTCGACGAGTCTGTGGTAGGCTGCGCCTGAGTTACTACTGCCAGCGGTCAAATGAACAACCCTGCAAAGCAGAAGTAAGTGCAAAGCTCGCAAGCAGGATAGGACCCACACAGAAAGATGGACCATTGAACTGAATCGCAATTAGCACTCTCCAGTTTCCAGGTGCCCGCGCACAGTCGTTAATCTGTACAGCCTCAGGCGTGCGACATCTTCAACGCAAATCAAGGCTCTTCCTGCAGCTGTGGACCTGGCTCTGCAGCCTTGTGAGAAGCCCCACAGTCAGCTTGCGCTTGGATCTGAAACGCTGAAGAACTTAACACCTTGAACCCGCACGTGCAGTAGAACCGGCTCTGTCAGTATTTCCGATCCAGCTCTCCTTAGCAGGACCTTATGCCGCTGAGGGCACACACAAACATTTGACACTGCTGAAAAGTCGAGCAAAGCTGTTGCTCTTTCAGTGTCACACTACCACAGCAATGGAAAACTGCAGCTTGATCCTCTAACCAGTTCATACAGAAGCATATGCATATACAGTGTGAATTATGAATTATGCCTCAATCGATGTAATGTCGCACCCCCGTCGCCCCAAAAGTTCCAAATTGGTCCCCTTCTCGACTGGTCCTCTGTGGACAGGACTTGTAATTGATCTCACGGGCACTTGGTACTCTGATAGCAACATCATTTTTCCAATTTATGTGCGGAGGACGCAGATCGACAGGAAGATAGAGGATGGACAATTAGGCAGGAAGACAGGGAGCATCTGCCGTGTCTCTTTAACGAGCTGGCTGGGATCCCGGCGGATGTGCGCAGAGCTGCCCTGCAAGCTGCAGCAGCGGACAGCCGGGCCCGTGTTGAGCCCTCCTCGGGGGTTGGAAAGAGTCTCTGGTACACATGAAGCAACAAAGCAATAAATCATTATGAGTGCATACATGCATACATGCAGAATTATTTGGTTACTTAGCCTGGTACGTCGTTTGGTTTCAGGGTTCGTTCGTTCGCTCGCTGTTTCGTTTCGTTCGTTATTTTCGTGCGTTGCTTGCTTGCTTGCTTGCTTGCTTGCATGCTTTGCTGGCCTAGCAGTAATAAGCACAGCACGCTCAGGCAAACGGTAAATGTGTGCCACCTGGATCTTCTTTCCTACGCACGAAATGATTGGATCCGAGAGATTCCGGGAGTTCCGGCCTGGTTGACTACATGCACCAGGCTGGCAGAGGCACCCATCCAAAATCCGAGGCCCTCAAGCTCCCCCAACAGGAAGCAACGTCGCAGGAAGCCCGACTTTGAGGCCGGTGCACAGACTTGCAAGGCATGCAGACCCGGACCTTTCGGACGTGCCGAGGTCTGTTCGGGGGGGGAATCCAAAGCTCTCAGGGCCTGGTGTCGTTGCCCAAAGAGTCTATATGGAGAGGATTTCCTAGGGGCTTCGCAACGATTCGCAACGTTGTACTTCAGAGAACCGTGGATCCACTGAGAGGAGGACCGTCTCCCTACAGTGCAGCACTGTGCAAGACTGTGTCAACGGGGTCGGGTGTCGTACTTGGAGGTGCAAGGTCTACACACAGATCTTCGTCGAATGCTTTGCTCTGTCACGAAACACAGCAACTACAAGGCTCCCCTAGCTCCTGGTCACACCAACCCACTTTAGCCGCCACACCATAAATCCCCCGGAACGGTAACGCCCAATCCTAAAACCCTACAACACAGCTGTTGCCCAACTCCTTGGTAACGAGGCCCTGGCTAAACTCTCAGCTATCGCCACATTCAGCGAGCTGAGAGAAGGTTGCGCCTGTCCAAGCCTCAAGTCTTTTGGATGGTTGGATTATCGAGGGCTTAGCCTCATGAGCCTCATGGCGGTTTGGGTTTCGGGGTTTTCAGAGCAGCCAAAGGTGCAAAGTGCAATCGATCCCCTCGATATCCGGCCGGCCTACTACACTTGAGAAGGCTGTGGCTGGTTGTTTGGGGTCATACCATATCTGTACGAGGACATCACATCATGAACGTACAGCGAAAGACATCGCCGTCTTTCTTCATCGCTATGGATGTGGTCGGTTCTCTATCTGTATAGCTCATTGTGATGTTTAAACGCAGGGACCCTCGCTCTCGCCGTGTTTGCACATTGAGATGAAGACGAAACCTCGAAGGACCTTGCTTGAGAACTCCTCCGGGGGCTGTGCGAGAGACGGCACAAGTCCAGGTAACGTTCGTTCTCACAAACCACCGCCAAGTCCTCGCAGCTTTGCATCCACAAGGCTGCTGAGGGGCGCGTTGCTCTGCCATGCACAGTATCGCCAAGGGCTGCACAGCATGTTCGTAGATTGCAGCGAGAGTCCTGGGACGGTTGGCTCTTCTGGTCCGGATGGGTTTTGGGCTGACGAACTGGCATGCACACGGCAGCTACAACATAATCACCTACCAAGGCTGGCACAGAGATGCGTTGTAGCACTGAACGCTGACCTGGCACAAGAGCAGCGCTTCCTGCAATCGGCGGCTACCAATGGCCACAGTTTCGGAAGTTAAGCTGTCGTGGGGAGCTTGGGCGGTTGCGGGTGCCAAAGCCAAGGCGCCTCGCCAGTCTCAAACGGCCACACCGAGATGGATGCGAGGCCAGCGGAGGGAAAGGCATCCCGAACCTCGCTGAGCCAAGTGGATGCAAGTTATTATGGCCGCGGTGATAACGATGGTTGTCACGGTGGTGGCGGTGCTGGCGCTGGGGGGAGGAGGAGCAGCATCAACACTTGTGATCACTTGTGTACATGTATGTATCTGATATAGATATCGATGCGTTGACGCGTTGACTGCTGAAACGAGGTTCCTGGCGTTTGACAGTAACTGCGAAATAAACCAGACCCGAACTCAGCTTAGACAGAATGACTCGCAAGCCCAACTGCCCGCCCCCGAACTGTTCGGCGCCTGCACTTGCCGGATGTTTCTCTCACTCGTTCCGCGGAAGTCATGCTTTCTATGCGCAGTGTTGGCATTGTGCTGGAGGCTCTCGGTTAACATCTGGCCGTCTTGGACAAGTTGGATTAGCTTGTGCTGTCTTGGTGTTTGGAGTTGAATATCTGCTCATCAGTAATTGGACGAGTTTGATTCAAACTGTGCCATGCTTTGGTCTCATCCGTTGGACTTCATAGACGGTCTATCATGGTCTCCGTTCTTCGATGATAAAGAAAGGGTCCGGATGATGCTTTGCCTTCGCCCCATTCGTATGCGGGTTGCTGAAGGTCGACCAATGAGTCGTTTAGTATTACGTGTATATGGATCTAGACAACCATAACTGTACATACATGTATATTCATATATGTGTATATACATATATGTCTGTATGTACATATACACCTTACCAACTTCAAGACTAGACTGCTGGAACCGGCAAATCACTGCTGCTGCATGCGCTTGCTGTAATGGCTATGGCGCTGACTTCAACTTCCGGGACTTCTAGTGGTGTCTCGGAGCACTGTACTACGACTCATACTTCGGATGGCATCTCCGCACATCATAACACTCCCCCGAACCCTAGAATCCCAGGGCCGTACACGGTATCATCGTCATGAACTCAAACCCCTGCGCCCAGGCGCCGACAGATTTCAGTGCAAAGGAGCCCAGGCCACTCCCCGTCCCACCGGCAACGCTATGCAACGCCTGGCATGCGAAACTATGTGGGCTCCGACAAGGGTTCCTGTAAGGGTTCCCGTAAAGGTTCCTACAAGGTTGTCTCTGTGGGTTGCTATGCAGGCAAGTGTTGTAAGAGGTTGGGGAACTTGGATTGCAGAGGCGGCAAAGGTTTTTGTGATTTAGTAAGATTCCGAGGCTTGGTCCTGTGCTTGAGAACCACTCGGACCGAGTTTGACGGTCAGTGACGACCGGGAACTTCGAGGATATCTCCGGTTTTGGGGCTTCGGGCTCTTGTTTTGGTCCGGGTTGTGGCAGAACACTGTCAGTTTGATGGAGGCAACTACATACGTAGTCACAATGGGAATTGCTACGCTAACCGACATTGCTGCGATTTGGTTGAAACCCCAAATCATCACGATCCGAACCGACAGTTTCAATTCCAAGGTCACTCCGTTGGCGAGATCCGGAGCTGGAGGTCGTCGCGGAATGCACAAGAGAAGAACTGGTTACTGCTTACTTGACTATGAACCCTGAATTATCCTAACATGTGTTGTGGACATACATGTGTACATCTTCACCAAGCCACATGTGAAGGCACATACCAATCTGCTCTCCGCTGTCTAGCTTTTAACATGTGCCGGCCATGCATGGAAGTACGCCCCATAGTTCCGTGCAGCTGAAACAGAAGCCTAAATAACTACCTCTATACTATTCTAGGGGCTGCGCCCACGGGCAGGCAGAGCAGGTAGCCCGGCGCAAGGCCTCGCACCCCCCCTCCACCGAACCCCGCTGATGCTATTGATGCGCGCCCTTTGGGAGCTTCTGCAACCCACTCCAAAAATTGGCACAACATCGCCTCGCGCTGCCGAGGGCCACTGCGGGCGCACCGGGTGCTCATGATTCTCGCCGGATGCCCTTCTGGGGCCGCTCACGGGTGCCCCAAAACTTGTCATGTCGTGGGGAATGGCCGCGGTGCCGGGTGAGCCTCCAACCGAAGTCCCGCGCGGCCCGGTGGAAAAGCGAGGGTCCGATGATGCATTGTCGGCGGCACTCCCGGCCGCCCCGTTCCCGCTGCTAAAAGCAAGGCGTGCAAGCTACAGCTCGCCTCTGGCGAGGCTTCGCAGGGCGCACGCGCTCGGTCGGGGACCGAGCGCTGCCCGATTTTGGGGTTCCTGGTTATAGCCGTATGAGTAGTGTAATAAGCCCCAAAACCCTGTTCTACTTATATAAGCCCTTGCACAGAGCAGGTGTACCTTTTCACCTCAGCAGAATCCGACCGAGGTCCGATCAACTGCTACGAGGGGCAATCCAACGAAGTCATTGCCTCGAGGCATAACGTAGGGGCCTTAATAATTAGAAATAGGGGCCTTCATCACTAGAACAGCGTTTGGGAGTTTATTCTACTATAAGTAGTCAGGAACCCAGGAACCCAAATAGTATTGGTAATGATTTGGGCCCCTGTATGATGGGATAGCCTCCACTAACTGCTCCCCGGCGCCCAGAGGATAAATGCGTCGCCCAAGATGCGAACATCGCAAGATTCGGTCTCTGGCGATTGCTAAGGAGCTGCAGGAATAGACCCATAACGAGTCCACACACAGCTCTATATGTTAGGGAGAAGGTAATAAAGAAGTGAGGAGTACTTGTAGATTTCGGAACCGTCCCTGTGCGAAGAAACGGAACTCCTTCCACACAACAAGGGCTCTCAGGGGGTGGCTGGCTGAATCAGGTGTTGCCGATATTGCGAATCGTGTTATATAGGTATAGATGTACCATGGTCGTAAACTAGATCTACTGTGTAAGGCGTGGTCTCGATCTCTGGGCAGCATACCTGCAACCTCGCGGATCCGACAATCGTTTCGGAAAGCTCGGATACTTCTTCCAGAAGAGGTAGCCCAGCCTCGCAGGCGTAAGCTTTCGGTTTTAGGTTTCGGGTTGGATGTCTGCCTTTGCAAGAGGCGCTTTCCCCCGCTGAAACGCAGTCGAGCCGCTTGTACATCCGCTCCTGCAGGGTCCCAAGGGATTAGAGGCCTCGAGGCTTGGAGCCGTTCACTGTACGGAGGGCTGGAAGCGAAGGCTCTGGGTGTAGTCCAATGATCCTTAATTAAGGAATAGACCTTAGATTATAGTAGGATCCCTAATATGATTTTAGGTCTATTCCTTAATTAAGGGGTATTGGAGTCTCTGGGTAGGTGAAGCTTCGCGGAAGGCTTAGCTCCTAGCTGCGGCCCTCGTAAAGGAACGCCAGAAGAGCCGTTCAGATCGCGAGAAAGGTCAATATCAAGCGCTGGAGGGTAGTGGTTCAGGCAGTCCTTGCGCAACGGGTCATTGTGCAGGCCGTTCCAAAAGTTCATGCCCACCTGATAGCTTCGGGGCCGGATCACGACAGCTGTAGGCATGTCCTAAACAAATGATCGCAACCTTCAAAGGACTCCATGCGCACTGGGATCCTCGAAAATCTGGGTAGCCACCCAGCATGTATTTCCAAACCATGCCAAGTCCCCAAAACTCCCCTCCAATGCCAATGCTCCCTATTGATCTGCCTCGTCGTCACACCCGTCATTATCCTACGTCCTACTCCTCCTCTCCGTCATGTCACGACTCAGCGACACACCTTCCCAGAGACTCCAATACCCCTTAATCAAGGAATATACCTTAAATCATATTAGGGATCCTACTATAATTTAAGGTATACCCCTTAATCAAGGAATATACCTTAAATCATATTAGGGATCCTACTA